GGGGTTAATTTAGTTTTCATTAAATGTTAAGAGTTAAAAAAAATTCCGTTCGTTTACTTCATGCATTAGTTACTAGGTAATTGTTGATTTTATGGGAAATGTAGTTATGACAATATTGTAGCACACACAAAAGCTTTCATTTAAGAAAATGATGAAGTCGGACCAATAGTTCTAAAGATAGGTATAGTTGATTTTATAAAACTCAACATCCGCCATCTTGGATTGGCCGCCATTTCTATTAGCTACCACTTTGAGATGGCAATTATCGTTTTTTTTAAATCCTAATGCATGTGTCTAACCGTGGTAAAAATGAAAATTGGTACCCCCAAATTATACCATTTCCTTAAATTTAGCCAGTTGGCCCATAGACTAACCCGAGGACTAACCTAGGTAGGTATTACTTTTACAATTTTACTATTGCTTCCATGCCCCGGGGCCCGGGCTATATGTTTTTAGCGCCCTGGGCCACATTTAGCTGGCGCCCCCGTAACTAATGTTTATGTTACGGTAAGGGTACATAATGTGGTAATTGTATACATTTACCGGAGTCTTTGGTAAAAGTAGAAAATAATCTTAAAAGACCCTCTATTTCCTACTTTTACCGGTAATTGTTTACAATCGCCAGAGGAGCTTGGTGAAAGTAAGAAATTCAAATTTCGAGGATCGACACGCAAGCGCAGTGCGTTTGTTTACCACGTGCATGTGTGATCCTATTATTAGTCTGCAGTGTTGATTCTTCGTAAGTGTTTATATCAGTTCTGCCATACAAAATTTGCCTCTTGTTATTGATTCAGGCAAAAAAACTCTTGTTTTTAGGTTAAAAAAAAATAATAACAAAAATTACACTTCTTAAAAAAACTATTTGAATTTATTGTTTTTATTTCTTCCTTTGATATCATTTTCTTACTTTTACCGCTGGTCCTTGGTTATTGTATACAATTACCGGTAAAAGTAGATAATTGAGAATAATTTCGTACATTTACCAGTGACTTTGGTGATTGTATACAATTACCGGTGATTGTATACAATTACCAATTATGTACTTTTACCGTAACATTTATACCTAACAGTTAAATTGTGTACCTACTTAGTGACCGAGCTTCATAGGGATATTTATCTGTATTCATTTTGAAACAAAGTGCACTAAGAGTCACAGAGGCGAGGAATGTCCCACTGGCAGAAATAAACAGCATTTTATACTACAAACGTTGAATGATAAGTACCTACGCTTATTTGGGCACATTTATTTTGCCAAAAATTATTCACAAGCCCAGATCTAAATTGCAAATAATAAAAGATTCTGGACAGTGTGCAGTCATGGGGGGGATATACAGTGCGTTCAAGATAAGAGGCTCACCCCAATGTCTCTTATTTGGCGAGCTACGAACAATTTGTCATATATAATTTTATATATGGCAATGACATTGACATTACGATCTAATCCATCGCAACTTCCTGTATCACTTCCGGTTTAATCGGAAATTGATTGCATATTTTGATGCTACACAGTGCTGTTTTGAAATGGAACAAATTCCGACTACTTTCGGAGAAAATCGTTTTTATTTTTTACTGAAGTTATTTAAAAAGATCAAATTTGTTTTTTCTTACGGAAGTCATTTTTACGTTTTGTGTCATTTGACTGTCACTTTTTTCTGATTTGAAAAATGTAAATATCGCTATTTTTTAATAAGAATTCTAGAGAAAAAAAAGTGGTCATAATAATGTATCATTTATTTTGGAATATCTTTTTAAATAACTTCAGTAAGCAATAAAAACAATTTTGCCAAATTTCGTTTTTTCCGTATATTACATATTCTTGATTCTGTGCAGTATATAGAAACTTAAAAAAATTATTATATTACATAACAAAATGTATAGGTAATATAGAAAAACTCAAATTAAGGAAAATAATATTTATTTCATAATTTCACTAGTTTGCGTTGAGAAAAAGGTTACTCTTTTGTATTTTCTTGATCTAGGTAATATTAGGTAAAGAATGATTATATACTATATGCAATATAGCTACAAGATTATCCGCAGTCTGTCACTGCACTTACACCGTTACCTATTCAAAGGTATATGCGGACGTCAACTAGCAAAGTCGTATAATTGATTATTATTATAGTTGAAGGTGCACATACGCCGTCGGGAAGTTTTTCGCGTTAAATTTAGTATAGGTAATACCACTTTTTTTTCCCTATCTATTTAGGTTTTCCCTGCGTTTTGAAATAAATGCGCACGAGTTTGATTTTCGAAACAACACATCATAACACTCCCGCTTAGATTGAGGTCAAATGCATCGACCGCAATATTTCTTCATAGTTTAACCAGGATAAATGATAATGTAGGTACCTATACAATTTTTGAGAAATAGGTAGGTATATACCTAGGTATACCTATCGCATTAGTTTCACACACGGTAAAAAACTCAGTTCATTTACGCTTCAGTATATACATCTAAGTAGGTATGTTTGTTTTAAAATGCAAGGTTCGTATGGTATAACTAAACATAAATACAAGAAAATAAAAACACACGTAAAAAACCGCCCAATGGCTTGTAGTTGCTGTGATTTGTATATTTGGGGAAAACCATGACCGCCAACGCCTTAAGTAAAAAATCACTAAAGTTTCAAGCGACAAATTCAAACTGTCTGCAGTCATTTTGAATTACCCCGTATTAAACGTGAACTTGCGTGTTTGGTATAAACCTGATATGTTACCGGCAAACTGCAAAATCCGGCATTTTGCAAAATCCCTATAGGCATTTTGCGAAATGACCAATGCAGCAGGCAAAGTGAGAAATGGAACTCGACTTCGCACTTCGCCTGCCTCTCTTTAGGGATTTCGCGAAATGCCAAACATTCAGGCAAAGTGAGAATTCTCGGTTATTTTCCACAGATTGCGCGTGCATCTGTGCCAAACGTAAAACCGTCGCGTTATAGCACCTTCCCCCATTTGATATATTCTCCACAGTAAATCCAAAGCGTGACTCAACAGAAAACCCATAGAAGAAATGCAGTCTAAACGTGAACGCAATATTTAGGGAGTACTTAAATTAAATCGCAATCGTCGCGTTGTTTACCATTCAATGGCAACGCTGTATGCGCAATCTGTGGGAAATGACGAAGCTTTCGCACTTTGCCTGCATGTTTAGGCATTTCGCAAAATCCCTAAACAGAGGCAGGCAAAGTGCGAACTGCAGCTCCGTTTCTTACTTTGCCTGTTGCATTCGTCATTTCGCGTTTGCAAAATGCCGGATTTCGCAGTTTGCTGGTAACATATATATTACACATGCATCGTTTAATTTAAACATTTCGTGGATCTATTTCTCCAAGCGCGTTGTAAGACAACCTTGTTTTATCCGAGAAGAGTAGTCTGCATTTTGCCTGGATCAATTGATTGATAATACAAAAATAAAAACGGTGCATTTTATTAAGTGGGTTTTGCCACATCTTGTCAGTCCTACCGTTATTCTTCAATACGATCTATACAAGTTTAGGGCTCTAAATTACTATAATCATCAGCAGACCGGTTCATAATTTTCAAACTATAGTCTTCTCTGCCCCTTTACGATACCATTTTCACCTTGGTTTTAACTGTGATATACACAGTTTTAATCCACAACGTGTACACTGTACAGGATGCGGTCACTAGTTATGTACGATAGAGATATCATAGACAACAAAACTCTTGGTTCAACAAAAACCAACCACACAGGTCACAGTACCTACTTATAATATGTTATGTCAGCGCGATATAAAAACGCCAGGAGTTAGTTGCTCTGCAGAGAGCATTTTGAATAGAAAGGAAAAGTACCTACACAAAATAAGAGCACAACGAGAACACCCTTTAAGTACGCTTTTGGCCCCTGGGTAACCTAAGGCCGAGCTTCACCATTGCACCCGCGTTTCAAGGTTCCAACAAAACGGGGCCCTAACGCTAACCCTAACAAAGCAACTGTCGAAACACACGTACATAATCACAAACAAAATGTAGCTATAAAATCAGAAAGCTTCGTGAGGTGACTATAATACGAGCATTCAATCACAACATGGGCCCACTAATTTTCAAACCTCACGAAAAGATATTTAAACTGAAATAACTACTCCTACCATCAGTTAAGCAAAGTCGCGGGTACATCACAGATTAATTTGTCAACTCAATAATTTTTAAACTAGAAAATGTCTACGTACGAAGATGCCCTTTTTTACGCTTTGTGATTGAAACCCTTTTCATGCATACACCGACTTAAGGTTGTCGCACACTTGTCCGTTCCGTTCCGTTATGGACCGTTAAAACACGTTCAACATAAAAGACATTGAATTAAACGTCTCTGCGCACATTAGCCCGTTCCTTAACGTTACGTCACAACTCATAAAGGTGTCTACCCACTACAACGTACAATATACGATGACCATGCCAGGCAAAAAAATATTGTTTGTATAGAATAGTATGATGCTATGCCCACTAGACTGTTTTGTCACCGACCACCGTAACGTGGTATGCACGGAGCGTCAACAATATAGTCCTTGAGAATATTTTGCCGGTGCCGGTACGCTCCTTGCATGGCACGCGACGGCCACAAACCGGTGCGCGAAGGCGCAGAAAGGATGAACACACGGAAGTACATATAAAATTGTTCTTCATCATCAACTACTCCCTCGACTTTTCGTTTCGCATCCTCTTCCTGACGAGTTTGTTTCAAGTACAACCGAGACAACGGAAACCTTACACACGGGTATGATAAAGTGGTGATACGGTCTAGTGGGCATAGTAGTCCGTGTGGTTTACTTTCCATGCCTGACACGTTCATAGTATGATCATGATACGGTGCGGTGTAGTTGGCAGATACCTCGTGTGCGTTAGCCCGAACCGTCGACGGCCGTGACGGAACAGAACGAACAAGTGTGCGGCAACCTTTATAATTTCTGTTTTGTAGGTACATTATTAAATTAGAAGCATTTGAAGGGTTTCCTATAAAAAAGATTTATTGTTTATATTTTGGATAAGTAGACCGAATTAGTATGCCGATTACGTATTGCGTTACGTCCATTGTATACATAGGTAGATACATACTAATTATAATACACATAACAGACAGACACATAAACTAATTCAAACGGTATTAAAAATGACTATACACATCTTTAACACTTATCGGTTCAATGTTTCTTATTAGTCATTCGTTGGGGAACTACAACAGTCTAGTTGAACTATTTATCAGGAAGAATATAATTTAGTAATAATAACTCTTAAGTGTGCACTTGAAATTCCTAGGCACTTTCGATAATATAAATATACGATCCATCATACACATTATGTTAATCGGTGAACGTTAAACCAACAACTGAAAATACTTAAGGAAAGATTTAATTGGTTACTAACATTTTTATAAAATGAAAATATTATGAAATGTTCCGGAAAATGAACATGAAATGTACCAAATGGAGCAGATCCACATGTGGATATTATTTACAGTTTTTGCGATGCCAAGACTCATGCATTTCCAATTTTCCTTTGTTTCTTTTTTGAAGTTTCAATACTTGGATGGGTCTTGATACATGCAAAAAACACTCTTTTAACCACCAAGACTGTATGGATAACAGCTTTCCTCCTTGGTGATTTCTTTAATTACTTCCATCATCTCATTAAAACTGATCTTCTCCTTCTATACATGTTGCTGCATATATATTCTCAGTGTCTACTTGGATTCAATAGACCCTAGTTTTTTACTTCTCTTCAATGCAGATTTTTGGTTTCTTTAACCTCGCCAATCGCCTAAATGATAACAGTGGGTTAAACTTTCGCTGCATATGCTTTGGTTCAAACCCGCCGCATAAACTATCAGTTAGCGTAATCTAAGAGCTAGTGTCAGAGTTTTTAACTTACATTCGTTGATTTACCGGACCGAAAATCCTCTTCTTATGTGTTGCCGTAAAACATTCTTTTTTTACATTGAATGCATAAAAAATACGCGCGCATCTGGGGTTCGAACCCGCGACGTCCAAGTCGGCGATCTAGTCATGTGCGCCAATGGGATGGCAGTGATTGTCCTCGTTTATGCTATTATAAATACAATTCCCTATTACGTGCAATTAAAGGCGTCATTCAAAGTCTATATTCCGCCAAAATCGTCTTGCATAATTATTTACCAAATGGTAAATTTATATGAATGTACTGAAATTCAGTACATTCATATAAATCAAATAAAGCAAGGTTCATTAATAATAAAACGGTTTGATTTTCCAAAATCTTCGACCACCCACCACCGCCGCGCCATCGTCGAAATTGCTGGCAGACGCTGGGAAATGTTATTACCATATACATAATTATCTTATATCTAAAAATCAACAATAATAAGACTGTTGTGAATGTGCCACTAGCTGCCCTACTATAATGCCAATCAGCCATCGAATCTAAAGTTTACGCAATGGTAGAAATAAACGGTTACTCTTCTCCTCTCCTTCGACAGGACGAAAAATTCCAAATATGGAACATAAATAAATGTTGAGGTCAAATCCGAAAAAAGAATACCTGAAAATTGTGAAGCAAAACCAAACGAGCAATCCGGCAAAAACAAACGTCTAACTATGATCATCGGGTTCAATATAAGGTTTGAGATTTTAAACGTGCCACGTTCCAGAAGATTTTCCCTTAGAATCTCTTAGGTCATATACCCAATTTTACGGTTAACTGTAAAATGTCCTAACAATTTGGGAGCTAACTTAGCAGAATAACCTTTAGTGGCATATTTTTACGCTTTCTAATTCGTGCAATAATGCCGTATCTACTTTTCTTGTTGTTGCGCTAACTATTGTTCTACGTCAATCAGGTTCGTCAAGTCAGTATCGAAGCTGTCTCTTCGAATACGAACTTCTTTCTCAAAAGTAGCACGGGAGGGATTAACACCAATGGTTTCGTGTTTTGAGATTTGAAGAACACAGGTTATCGAAGCAAAACGTACCAATGTTTATGATTGTTTTTACCGTAAATGGCTATTCCACATGATTCTCCCTCTCCGCAGGTTCGGTCTGTGAATTACAAAAAGGAGTATACCGAACCTTTACACGATAGCGTTCACAAGGTCTAAAGCAAAGTCCGTCTTCGTATTTGCACACCGTTGTCACAAATAAGAAATTACGGAGCTCTATAAACAAGAAATACATGATCTTAGATAGATATATTTAACAAGAGGTTTGGCATCCGCCGTCTTTACGGGAAAAAGATGAACAAATTTACTCATGAAGTCGCCAACAACTTACCAACTCGCATTGTGATGTGGTTTTCTTAAGACGTTATGTTAAAGGAGCAAGAACTGTAGACAATTCAGGAATAAATTTACGGTACCAACCGGAAGTCCTTAATAAACGACCAAAAGAATCAATAACACAACCTAAATATTTACGTTCTAAACGACAAAAGTAACATTCGTTTTTATAAGTTAACCCAGCAGCAATTAATTTATAAAAAACGGTATTTACCTAAAATTCCGAATTGGGAATCAAAGTCTTAGGATATGATGGCAACATCGTCCAAGTAAACTAAAAAGTTAGGTTACAATTAAGTTTTTAAATAGTGTCAATTATGCACAGGGGCATTAGTCAACCCAAAGGGCATGCAACGAAATTGAAAAAGACCACGACCAGGCTCAGTAAGAAGCTGTCTTAATTCAAGGGAACTAAGATATTTGGCATCTCGCAATTGGTCTAAGATTGTGAGCCTAAAAGAGTTTGTAGGGAATGGTGTTGCTCAGTAGTAAGACGAGAGTGTTCTAGAATGGCAACACTAGGATGCGTTGGCGTATACGAAGTAGTGCCAACAGTCATCACTAATATTTGGAGTAATACCCATCCTGTCCCAAAAATCTACTCCCAGACTTAAATTAGTTATTAAAGTAGGGAACCAAAAAACAGTACGATCCTTTAAGGTATTGGTATAATAATGTAACCAATAGAAGTCCCATCGGTACCGTGCTACCGTACAAGAAGTAATTTGTTCAATAAATTTAAAGTTAAGGTTTTGTAATTTAATGAAACGGTCTGGATTTATAAATGAGCGCGAAGCCAGAATCTGATAATAAGAACCACAAAAAAATTGGACATAAGGTCGCAAATCATTTTCTACATATTATAACAGAAAGTCTAATTTGAGTTTGGATAGAGATTTTAAAATGTTAGTAGTCTGGACCGAAGATGACTTAACGAGCGTTTTTCGGGCCGTTTCCCGAACAACAACCTCAATTCCCTACCGTAACGGTCTTTGAGCCACATTGCCAACAAGACAACTGCCTTATTGGTTCAGGGCAGTCAACTTGATGAAGGCCTAATTTTTGGCAATTGAAGCACGGAGTACTAGGAGCTTCCATCGCATCGCATGAATGAACGTGGTCGATTATTATTAAGAGTACAGGGTTTAGTTTACCGAAGTCGACCAAGACCAACTTTTTAAGAAGTACCTACCTACTTACTTGCCTACCAACGAAATTTAGACTAAACAATCGTAGCTTTTTAAATGATCTCAGTGCTGAGATCTAACACCTTCATTTGGTGGACACATTTCACGCATGTCATGTAAATAAATACAGCTAATATCTACCTATTTATTTATAATTTATACCGGTGAGTGTAGCTTCGAACATAATTTGACTGTATTTATTTTTTCAGATCAACCTCTAGTGGAAGTAGCATAAATTCACCAGGAGCCGGAGGTGGATTAAACGGAGGCGCGATGAACACTGGTTATCCAGTAATGGGCCAATTTGGCGGCGGTCAGTATTGTCCCGTTTCCGAAAATCTCGGATTAACACCTCATTACTCGTCCGGATGGTATCAAAGTTCGGCGGCGGATCCTAGATTTGCAAGTAAGTCGCGGAATTATGAACGTTTTGTCCCCTTTCTTTGAATATCGAGCATCTATACAAAAAGCAGATACGCCCGGAAGCGAAAATCCGATATTATACAACCCGTATTTCTAAGCTTCCCGTTTACATGTTCCCCAACTGCATCAGCGCGTCTCATCAATCATCTTCCTGTTTGCATACCAATATCCATGTAATATTATTTATACGTGTTACAGCATATTAGGGGGACGTTTGTAGACGTTAAACGATCGTAATACGATTAGGTATTGCCGCCATTAAATACCTACGTTCCGTATAGACTTCCGTTCGTTAAATGTCTACTGAGAAAAACTCCTCCAATTTAAATTAAAAGTAATGAAATTGATACGGCACTTTAAAAGCTTAGTTTGTATAGATAGATAAAGCGTGGGTGTCTTTAGTGTACATTTCACGAAATACAATACGGGTGGCGTGCGAACTATGCGGAAGGGGATATTATAGGATGTGTGAAACCGTAACCTAAACCTCTACTTCTGGCATTTTGTTATGTACCTACGTTTAGGGGATGAGATGAGAAGGTGGTTCTCTTGGTATTTTCGCTTAATCTACTCATATTTCACGAAATGCCTTCTAGCTATCATATACCCAATTTAATATAGGTATATACAAGAAGATATCTACCTATACCTACGTATTTGCATTCGAGATCTATAGGTAGGTGCGTTCATATTTCTATGCGCATAATAATAAGAGATAGAAAAAAGGGTAAATTATAGCCAAGTTTCGAAGATTTCCAAGTTGATTTCAAATATCATTTTAATATTAGACTTACCCTCATTTCATTTTTCGTGAAACCGTTAATTTCTCATTACCTAAAGTTAAGATGGCATTAGAGTTTAAAATAAAAACATTTAAAATAAAAACAAACATTTTGTACATTTTGTACAATTAGAAATTGAAAATTGAGCAATACC